TGGACTACAGTGGCACAATCACAGCTCACTGCAACAGCCTTGACTTCCTGGGCTCAAGGAATCCTCTCACCTTAGCCTTTCAGGTAGCTGGGCCTACAGTCATGTGCCATAATGCCCAATTAATTTTTAAATTTTTTGTAGAGACAGGATCTCACTATGTTACCCAGGCTGGTCTCAGATTTCTAGCCTTAAGTGATTCTCCTGCCTTGTATTCCCAAAGTGCTGGGATTTCCTTACTAATTTACTGACAAGTTGTTCTGTCTATTATTAAAGTGGGTATTGGCTGGACACAGTGGCACATGCCTGTAATACCAGCAGTTTGGCTGAGGCAGGAGAATCAATCACTTAAGCCCAGGAGGTCAAGGCTGCAGTGAACTATGATCACACCACTGCAGCCTGGGCAACAGAGCAAGACCCTGTCTCTAAAAATAAAATAAACAAAAGAAGGTAGTGAAGTCTCCAACTACCATTGTAGAATTCTTCCTTCAGTTCTATCAATGTTCGTGTCATGTATTTTGGGGATCTGTTATTTGGTATGTATGTGTTCATAATTGTTTTATCTTCTGATAAATTGACCTCATTATCAATATATGACTTTCTCTTACTTGTAACAACTTTTTTTAAAGAGACAGGGTCTTGCTATGTTCCCCAGCTAGAGTACTCCTGGGCTCAAGTAATCATCCCACTTTAGCCTTCCAAGTAGCTAGGACTGCAGGTAGGCACCTCTGCACCCAGCTCCTCTTGTAACAATGTTTTTACTTAAGACTATTTTGTCTAATATTGGTATAGATACTTCAGTTCTCTTTTGGTTACTATTTGCATAGAATATCTTTTGCTACCCTTTTACTTTCGACCTATTTGTGTCCTTGGATCTAAAGTGAGACTCTTGTCAAATATAAGACACCTGGCATACACACACACATGCACACACATGCACACACACACGCATGCACAAGGAAAGGTGGAATATGTTAGAAAACAAAACAACATGAGAGAATATTACTAAAATTACTGTTAAAGGTAGAAGTTGGAAGTCTGTCTCATTAGACTTTTCATTTGTTTATAATTATAATTAACATTATAATTATAATTATATATTGACATTGTTAGGGTAAATAATTTTTTTTTGAGACGGAGTTTCACCCTTGTCTGGGATTTCAGGCACCAGCCACCATGCCTGGCTAATTTTTGTACTTTTTAGTAGAGACGGGGTTTCACCATGTTGGCCAGACTGGTCTTGAACTCCTGACCTCAAGTCATTCACTCTCCTTAGCCTTCCAAAGTGCTGGGATTATAGGCATAAGCCACCATGCCCAGCAGTTAGAGTAAATAATAAATTTAAAACACAAAACACTATTATATTTTCCTAAATCTTGATTCGTTTTCTTCTGCTCACCTTATT